GACAGACAGGGACTTTCATTTTTGTCCCAGTTCCTTGTTCCCCCGAAGCAAAATACAGTCATGTTTGTGAGCTCTTCCTCCACATGGTTTATGAAAGAGTGAGAGTGGATTCATTTCTGAACTGAAATGGAGAAAAAGTACAATATGTGTGGTTGTGTTGGATGACAGGGTAGCTTTAGAATAAAACCAGAGCATAAGGCAAGTGAAGAGGGAAATACTAATCTTCTATATATGTCAACAAATGTACCCATTCAGTAATCATTTTCAATGTTCTGTGCATTGTGTAGAGATGCACATACACGTAAATACACTGTATTGGAAGATTTATATAAAGACTACTCAGTTATTTGTGGGATTTCGCCTCATAATTCAGATTGCAAAATTTCTCTGCAGCTGTTCCAATTGAATAACATGCTGGATTATGGATAAATATTTCCAACAACTTTCACAATCCCTTTAAAGTCACAGCACGTGAAGACGTAAAGTACAGGATCATCCAGAGGGGAATGTGTCGTAAATCAATCCATCCTCTGATTGTGGTTTTCACATCTGGAGTTGCACAGGACTGCAGCCCAGAGATGCATCGCAGTTCAGTGCAAACATACAGCATCCATCATTCAGATTTACTCTCCTGCTCTGTCTGTATGAACAATAAGAACAAAAAATACTCCTGAATTTACTTCAACTTTTGAGTGCAAAGGCCAGAAAAGAACGAGTGATCATTCATTTCTTGAAATCGGTATGACTCCCTCAATGTGTTCAGTAAAAATGAACTGTTTCTTACTCTTCACAACCCCACTGGAGCTAGACTAAGAAAACAACTGATAAACCGAATAACTTCTGAGTTGGACCACGTTCATGCAGATCTGTCCATGCCTAAAGGTGGAGGTGATTAGTGTCACCAGTTCAGTGTCTTACCACATGTGAAATGTGGTCACAATTTCCCTCCTTTTATGACTTATGGTGATGAATTCTGGACAGATGAGAATGTTTTCAGCACACTTTGATGTCAGAGTAAGGCTGACCTTTTTCAAATTACGAGAAGTGTTTTAAAGTTTGCCATATTCTCAGGTTTGGCCAAATCATCTTTGTTGAAAGGTTTACATTTTTAACAGTTTTTAAGAAAGTCCCTCACTGTGTCTCTGAATGCACATATTTGACAACATGAAAATGTTATTACTGGCCACATATGTCATCATCATGAAATGATAACAGTAAAAAAAATAATAGAGCAAAACTTATGAGCAATTGAAAGCTGATGTAGCTTGTGTATGTTTGATAAAGATGCACCAAAGTTGTTTTATTTCAAAGGATTTGCAACCATCTATTCATATGATGATTTCCATGAGGGATTCTCCTCACATACCTTCAAACTTTGATGTATACAATAAAAAAGTAACAGAGTCTTACCCTCTTGATGGATTAAAGAAGCCGGGATGAAAAATATAAAAATAAAACCCACTTCATAGTCTTTGCTCAGACTCTGGGCCATGTGTGTCGGAGATCAGGTGATTTTCCAGCCAATCAGCTCTACATCCGTTTCACATGTGGAAACGTTCAGTCGTGTGATTACTGTCCAGAGCTGTCACTCAGAGCTCAGCCCCTCATGCTTTCGCTTCTGTGATCATGTGTGCAGCTCCCACCCTCAAGCGCACACGTCCAGGTTCACTTCCTCCCTTTTTCTTCACCTGTTGACATTCTCGATGTGTCTGTTTCAAATTCACCTCCACACGTCAGCGGACATAACTGAGTTCACCTGTTTAAACAAGCCTACTTTTTTTACAGTTCCAGCCGTGCATATTGCAGCATTTTTGTGGCTCATGTCATCAGCACAGTGAGTAAAATGCTCTTCGGACTTTAAGGTAAAGTATTTTAAATCATCTTGATTTATTTTGATGCACTCCACAGCTCTTATAGGTGTTATGACCAGCACAATGTAAAAAAAAAACAGTACATACAAATGTGTTTGTTCATAAGAAGTTATAAGTTGTAAGGTTTTACAAAGAATGTATTACACTTCCTTTAAAAAAAAAGAAAAATACACATCACGGTGTAAAAATGCACTTCATATCTGTGATTAGTTTAGTTACTAAAACTTAAAATCCCATGAAGATGAAGGTATAATGTTTTTTCTTTAGTGACACCTGGTGGGTAAGTTGCAGACTCCATCCAAATAGATAACCTTAAAAAAGTCTCCTTTTTTAATCACCTAGAAGACATGATACAGCAGTTTTGTGATAAAAAACATTAAAATGGAATTTTACTTCCTTTTGGTCTGTAACCAATTGAAAGAATTAAACATCAAATATCTCCTAAAAATGAAATTGAAAACAAAACCTGGTAAGCTGTTCCTTGGCTGTGATACTGCTGCTAATTGTTGTTTCACCCATCAGGTCAGTATCAAACATTTATAAGAACACATGATTTTCTCACAGTCAATGGAAACAGAAAACTAGTTTTCCAACCTCTTATACGTTTTTTTGTTGTATTATTTCTAAAGGAAGGTGTGATGCTACTTTAAACTGTGAGTTATGGCCTGCTGAAGATGAATAAGTGACTCCAAGGCTACTCATTAAGGCCTTTCCTGTCAGATTATACAAAAATACAGAGCAGATACATGGATATTAATGAAATATTACAAAAACAAAACAACAATACATCCTTGTAAACTCCATTCACAGCCCAAATATAAAAGTGCAAACATACCACATATTAAGTGTTATTACTGGATATAAAATGCATGATACTGCTGGTCTTCATGCTGGCTTTAGTTTTTGTACTTTGGTAACTGCAATAAGAAACCTGCTTTCAAATCTGTTTTGACATCTGAAGGACGTGAGCACAGTGGAGTCAGAAAATCTATGCTGTAAGCTATTTTTTTAATGTGTGATGATGAAGGTGGTTCTGTCGCTGTCAGATTCTGTTTTATGGCTTCCTGTGCTGAGAGAAGATGTTTCACATATCCTGCTGCCTGACATCTGAGAGGAAGATGGAAATGGGAAGGAATCTGACGCATGTCGGCCAGCGGTTTGATTCCTGTACAACAGCATGACTTTGTCCTTATCAGATAACTCTAAGAGAAGCCCTTTCCTCTTTTTAAAAAAAAACCAAAATTCATCAGTTTAACAAGACCGAGAAAAGCTTTTTGCATTATTGGAAATGGTGACGCTTACATTTTGGAAATTACTCAAGCACTCCCTAACAATCTTTAGAGTTATTGCAAGAAACTTCCAAGAAATTTCAGGAATATTGGAAAAAATATTTTCTTTTTTAAAGTGAAGACAGACACTATAACTAAACGACCTCATGGTTGCTAAAAAAAGTAGTCTTTTATTTTTCCTTTGAGGAACTAAATTCAAAATCTGTGAAATGTGTGAAGACCTATCGGTGCTAAATCAAACAACTGGATAAAAGGAAACTCAACTATTAAACTTTGATAATCTAGATGATTTCTCTGGTCGATATTTGTGTACGAATCTATTAAAGAAGCCAAAAATACACTAGCAATACTCAACGTTTGTGTCAATAGCTCCTTTTTATACCAATAAGCCCTGTTCCTCGCCTTATTTTCTGCTTGTTTGTAACTCTGTCAAACTCTCAATGTGGTCAGATTTAATCTGCTGGGGATATTTGAGGTTTGTGAGTTTGCTATATTTCAAGGTGCACTATAATTAGATATAACAGATACAAACCATGGCTGTTTTCTTCCATATATTTAATTCCAGACTGTATTTGAAGCAAGATGGACGATTGGGGATTGCCTTTCTTTTTGGATTAAAAGTGGCCATAAAAATGAAATCCCAGTGTGATAGAAACGAAATGCTGAATCAGTCTGTTGTGGTTGGTTTGGTGTGTGTATGTGTTAAGATTAATGCTGAAACAACCAAAAGTTTGACAGTTTGACAGACCCACCGTTGTAAATCATACAGGGCAGGCGTCCACACACCCATCTGTTTATACTCATCTGCTTTTCATAATTGCTTCATCCGTCAAAAGCTGTGACTGTTAACCCCTAAAGTAACCAAGAGACTTTTTAGTTTCAATTCTGAAAAGATGTGCAGAACAAGAACTGAGTGGGGATTTGCAGGTTAAGTGACAAATATATGAATGCAAAAGATGTAGTTCAGAAAAAATAAATCTAATTCAAATGCTTTCTGAACTGGTTTAACATTGTTTTAAGAGGGTTGTAACCTGAGAAAACTTTGACTATTGAATGGAAATAAAGGCATTTTGAATTATTCTTTTATTTTCCTTGACTTTAAAGTTGGCTTTTAGAAGCTTAAACAATTCCTGGAGAGAGCTTTTTACAACTATGTAGGTTTGGACTGCTTTCCAACATCGTAGGTGGGGCCTATTGGTCATAGCATCTCTATAACGGCAGCTTTTGAGGGACTTTTTCACTCTGCAGTGGTCAGTTAACTCTGAACATGTTTAAGGAAAGCCATTGAAAGGCGAAAATATGACCGGAGACGTTTTTTACATCAGTTTGTCAAAGAAATCTGTCTAAAGGCCTAATTACAAAGAGAGAAAAAACCTTGGGATAAAGGCAAAAAAGAAGTTTCCATGAGTTAAAACATCTACAAAGTATATCAGTTTGTTTGAGAGAAAACAGGCTACTTTTCATTTAGTTTGAAAAACTAAAGCATTTCAGACTTTGCGGCATCTGCAAATCACCAAATGCTTCACTTCCAGGCAACGCTGTATAAAAACGATATAAGGCATCACTGTGGTTTACTGAGCGAAAGCTCTTCATACATATAATACTGTGGAGCAGCTGCCCGTAAATGAAAGTCAGTTCATCAGTGACACGGTCTTCTGGTTGCCTTTGAGCGCTCGGCACGTAGAAACGATGCTCCGTGAGGGTGATGTTGTCTGATCAAAGACTCCTTCCTGACTCTGAGGTCAAAACAGGCCCAGCTAACCTGAGATGAGCAGCTTCATCCCGTTCCTTTTAAAGTCGGCTCCCCGTTGGAGGCAGGTGAGCGTGGCGAATGCTCCTCGCCATGTGATCCCTGCTCAAACTGTGCAGTTAATGAAAGAGACAAGCTAGTCAGATCCAGTCAACGCGAGGCTCTGTTAGGTCTGGTTAGTCGGCTTTTCTTCTTTTCTTTTTACTGGAAATGAGCAACATACTGCTTACGCGGAACTCCGGGCAGAAAACGGCCGACATTTGAGCGTCTCAAAGAAGTCTAAGGCTTTGTTCGAGGATGTCTGAGCAGCGTCCTGAAGTTCAGACGGCGCACGTAACACCGGCGTCCTCCACGTGGCCACAGTTGGTTTTACCCCACCCAGAAAACTTACACTGGTGGATCGTGTCTTCAGTCCCCGCGCAAGCGACGTCATCCATCCAGATGAGACCCGTACCTGCGAAATACACCGATTCTTTAGTTTTTCTTTCAATCTATCTGTTTTTCTCCCCACTTTCCCACGACCTCTCCGTTTGAACTGTTTAGTAATCTACTTTTTCTTTGACTTTTATCTGGAAAGAATGAGATCACATCTGCACTTCGGCGTCAACAGTTCGAGTTCTGTGGTCCCCTCTGATGGCTCGTCCACGTATCGCTTTCCAAGTTGTTCGTATGCACGGTTAAAAATGATGCAACTAAGGCCAAAGAGCAAGAACAAGCTGGATCTGCTCGTGAGTTTAATCAGCAGCTGAGGTTTGAAAATGTTGCACGTGGTCTAAAGGCCATAAACTGCAGAAATCAATAAGAAATTACTGTCATGGGGTGAGATAACAAGAATTTTAGGCTTTTAAGTATTTTTAAATACAAAAAGTAGGACAAAGGACAGCTTTTGTGTCTCTGTTTGTGTTCCGAAGTGTCAAAGTTTTAAGATGGTCGGCAGGGGAAAAGATCTGTCCCAATTCAAGCAACAATCATCATCAGAATGTGTGTGTTTGAGTCTTGTGATTGAGAGAGAAAGTACTCAACGCTTCCTTTTAGAACTGTTGATCGGATTATATTGCATCCGGTAATAAAACACACAGTTCCAGCTGGTGAGCAGAGCTTTTGGATGTGCTGTTTTATCTGCAACTTATTTTATCTACATTTGCTGTTTGTGAAACTGGAGCAACCAGAGGCTTCAGAAAGTCCCAGATGCTTCAGTTTCGCAACATTTTTAAATGGTACTCAGCTTTCAGGGGAGCGAGATTGATGGGGAGCATTACGCTGCCCTTACATTACATTTGTGTAATTCAGGGATTAAACAATGTTTAAGCAAGAGGGTGACGAAATAGGAACTGATTTTTTAAACAGAGATTGGAGTCACATTAATCATGTAAATCCTGTGATTGTTGCTGCCTGTTTTATGGTCTGCTGCATATCAAACTCATAGAGAAGCAAAACTATGAAAAATAGATAAGACAGATGAGTAAAACAGCTGCATACGCTCAGAGGATTATAAAGATGTACAAAGGACCACAGAACTACACAATAAATAGAATCATTGACTACAAATTGACATGAAAATGTGAAAAGATCATAAAGATAGATAAATAACACACACAAAAGACACAAAAGGACACCTTTAACCAGCAAAAAGCAGCCACAAAGTAGAAATAAGCAACATAAACATTTTTTTTTTGTTTGTAATCAAATACAAACAAAAGCGTTTTTTTAAAAATGTCTAAAAAAAAGCCCATCAAGATACAAAATGGTCATAAAATGACAAAAATAACATTAAAAATTGAATAAATGATTAAATACTGACAACTAAAGCGACACAAAATGTTTGCATGCTACACACATATTACCAATATTAGAAATGTGTGCTCCTCTTCATTTCTCCCCAGAAGAAAATTAGGAAGATAAAACATATATATATTACTATAAACACTTCCTCTATTTGAGTTAATGTCATAGATTAATTTGTTTTTCTTTTCAATCAAATTGCACAGGTTGTATTTTAGAACCTTTTTTTTTTTATTCACACAATAAATGGAGCTCAAGAAGGGATTTAAAGCCCTGTTAGTGCGCTGATGTAACTCCTGCACATTTACAAATTTACGATCTTGGAGTCTTGATTCACCAAAACACTCAAGACTCATCCAGTTACAAAGGGATTCGGAAGATTTAAAAGCAGATTTTAAAGGTCTTGTGTAAAGGAATATTGCTGTCAGCACAAAATCCATTAACCATATCTGGTTAGAGGCAAATTTCTTTACCCAAGAAAATGGCAAAGAAAATAACTGGGAGCCTTGCCTGTGACGCATAGCTATTGGACGTGTTCAGCACCAGGGACAGCACATTGGACACGTCACACAGCGGTAACATCCGCTGTGTGATAGTTTTGTTGCCACTTTTTGCGTTGATACGTTTTTATATTACAAGTCTGACTGTGTAAATCGATTTAAGAGACAATTCGGCTCTACGCTGAAGCTACATGACCTCCAGCCCTTTGGAAAAACTTGCTGTTGATCTTTCAAGATGGCGGCCATGTTGTGAAGACAGCTTAGAGGATTGGTTTTATATATACAGGTATATATATATGTGTGTGTGTGTGTGTGCGTGTGTACATATAAAACCTGTGTTGTATCTGGGTTATCTCAGATAGAAAGATTGTCACAAAAACAGAAAAAATAGGTCATTAGGTCATACTGGGATTCCTCTTGGAGAACTCGCATTGCAAATTTCCATTGAAAAGCTAACAAATTTGGATTAGCATGTAAACAGTAAAGAGAGAATTAGGTTTGAGGCCATGCATTTAAACTAAACCTGAAACAAAGTAGGAATTTGATAGACGACAAAATCTTGCCTAACCTACAGAAATGTGTACTTTTCAAAAGTGAACTTTGGTCCCCGAGCTACCATATAATTTCTGACATCTGTTGTGTCGTTAAAGTATATAATGAGAATCAGGTTTAACCACTGTACAGCAACTTGTACAGTATCAGGGAAATAACAGATTCTTCTGGTGTTGCAGGAGGTGGTTTTATAGTTGGTTATTTTTGTCAAATCTTGACGAAAAAAACAACAGCTCCCAGACAAACCAATCAAAAAGGGAAATTACTGATCTGAAAACATATGTCGAATTTAACTTCCAGATTGCCTGAAATTGGACCCAGCCATGACATTACTCCCTGATGTTATCTGGATGCTGTCCCTTGGAAACAAATAAAGTTTTCCTCCAATTTCCCAGACTTCTAGGTCAGATCGCTCCTTGGCCTGAATTTCTCGGTGATGTAAGTCTGACCAGTAAATGACATACAATGGAAAGAGATAGAAAAAGAGATAGATATCACTTCTGAGACTCTTTTTTGACGACATCTGGCTCCGATATCTTTCCCCATTAAAACTTTAGAATGAATCCCTGCCGAATTGCAGGGCACTGGTCAAGTTGTACCACTCAACAGCAGAAGAGCAGAGTTAGTAAAATCCAGAGCTGAAAACGTCCCAAATGTACATATGATACGAGTAAAGAACCAAGAAGTTCCCTTATCGCACCATTAGAACTGATTCATAAAGCATAAGCTTAACGTGAAAGTTATATATGCTGTGCTACTGTAGTCTGGAACTTCAACTTGAAATACTAAACTGAACTTGTTAGCACATAATCATTTAAGTGACACCTTACTAATCCCTTTTGTTTAGAGTGATGATAGGTTTCCATCCGGCTAACAGCAGCGACTGTTCAATGAGCCCTAACAAGAAAAACTAATCCCGGCAGCTGCTACCATTCACTGCTGCCTGTTTAATGCAGCAGCTGCACAAAGAACAGCACGTAATACCTCATTTGGCAAATAAGGGCCCGCGCACAGAGGATTTTTCAGTAACGTCTGAATACCATCACCTGAACAGATATATACAGTGATGTGTTTATTCATCCCAGTGATTTTCACAATGCCTGTAAGCCAATAGTTTGATTTAATCCATACCTCAATGATGTTAAAACTGCAGATAGGAGAGTTCAGTGTGTATATATTAACAGTGACATGTTGCTTACATGCTCATATTGGCTCAGTATGATTTTACTTTGCATTTTCCTGAGAACTGCCTTCCTCCCGCTCACCACACACGTGAAAAAAGACATTCATCTCTTGCTCTAAACTGTTAACATGGAGAACAGAAAATAAAAAAAACACCACATTCACCAAACAAACGTTCCGAGTGTGTACTTAAGAGCCTATAAGCTCCTGACTGTGTGTTTTGTGCGCACCGTGCCCGAAGCGTCCCGTCTTGTGGACCTCGGTGGCTCCTCTGTATCCCAGCATCCTGCAGACCACGTCTCCGTCCTTCTTGTCCCAGACGTCGTCGCACACCGTCCCCCAGCGGCGCTCGTGGAAAACCTCCACGCGGCCTTCGTGAGGACCGGACCCATTCACCAACCGCACCAGAGTCTCCTCAACTGTGAGAGCCGTGCACACAAACAGATGTTCTTATTCTAATCTGTATATGGAGATACAAAAAATTCCAGTGGTGGCGCCATTATTCTTTTTTTTTCTACATGTTTGCAAAAAAAGTCTTTGTTATTCCTTCCAACAAGATTACATTGAAAACTGTTTGGCATTTGGCAGCAGGGCTTTAAACTCTTTAAACTGAGCTGATCAATTTTATTGTGAGTGCTTTTGAATTTAATGAAGCTCTGTTAATCAAACCAATATGAAAACAAACAGGGATGAATAGCTTTTTTTCCCCCTAGATGTGCTGAAACCAAATTTTTCTATAAACCACAGAAACAGTCTTTGATTTGGCTAAATCAGTCGGAAAATTGACTTGGGGTATTCATGTCTTATTTATCCTCCTCCTTGGTGAGCCTTTGAACGAGATTTCGGGTTTAAGACACTAGAATCTTTCAGAGATTGTACATCCCATATTATCATATTGGTGACCCCATGTAGCCTCCTTATCAGAAAGCCAAACCACCTGAAAATACAGTGAATGTTGAGGACACAGGAGAAGACAAGCGAAGAAAACAGAGATTTTCAGTCCCAGAACCAGTGGACGGTTGGAAATCAGACATTTGGACAGAATTTCTGCACACACTCTGGAAAAGTGAGACTCATTGAAACATTTTTTGCTGTCATCACTGAGAGCCCTCTATGAGATGTCAGCTGATGTATTCCTCTGCTCTTTTCCAGGCATGCTGACCCTTATGGAGACAAATAGCTGAGAGCTGAAGAAAGTTAGGACTTTTTGTGTGAAGTTGACTCATCCTTATGGTCATAGGCCTGTGTTCAGGGGCACGGCGGCCTAAAACTGGCATAGAAACACGGCAGAACGTGTGTGTCTGTGTTTTAGCATTAGCAGAAACTTCATAGTTCTGCATTGAATCTGGTATTCTTGAAACTATGCAGCAGCTGTACTTGTATAATTGCCTTGATTTATCACCTTTCAATAGGCAGAGAGGAAATGAGAAGGAGAGGTAAACATTCACACACATACAGTACAACACACACTCGTAGCTCCATTATTCTGGACTGCTCATCACTGCGGAGACTGTTGACAAAGGGTTGGACAGCAAAGCCAGACACACTATCTCCACAGGATATTAGTCTCATCAGACCATCATAAATTCTGACGGTGTATCATTTAACTCTCATTACTCACTCAAGTACTCCGCACTCACTAGTCCCACATAATTTAATATCTACCGTACCATTGTTGCCTCATATCTGCTGAATGTATTCGTGCCAAATTATTTACAGTACCAGTAATGTAGATGAATAAAAAAGATCAAATTTCAGCCTCCTCCCGGTGCTTTTTTGTAAATCAACACTGAAATCGAGGGAAGTAAAGAGTGATAGGGTCCTGCTCACCATTAAACAGGCAACTCGAGCCCCCCCCTGGCTTTTGTTGGTCCGTAGAGAAAAAGTATTCACACAAATGATGACATAACTACAATTTCAAGGCCCCGCAATCATTTGGCACCTTAACATTTTTTATGGGATCTGAATCCTATCCGTCCCGACGATGTTAAGCATCCTCACAGTTTTTTACTTTGTCCATTTGGGTTAAGCCCTAAAAACACAGGATGTTATTTCACATGGCTGCACCAAAATACAGCCAAAAGATGGAGCAGATAGCCTTAATTCAAATAAAATATAGAAAAACAAGCCGGTATCTTACAGGAAAGACAGAATCTGATAACAATAACCGTAAAAACTTTAGAGTAACCAAAGGAAACAGGCAAAAATCTGCCTCCCCAAAGTGAGTTAGAAGAGTTTCTAGCTAGGAATGTGATGTTATGTGTGGTGTTTAATTCAGCCCTCAGTAATTACATGAAATTCAATGGTTTTAAAACCCATAGGCACTGCATCAGGTTTAAGGCGAATGACCACATCTTCACAGTGAAGGTATTCTATGTCTTAAAGCCTAAAAACTTCGATAAGTCTGGAAAAATATATCACTTAATTTCCTCTGAAAACATGCTCCTATGAAAAAAATATGTGTCAAGTAATCTCAGTTATTATCGATTATCTCAGTTTGGGTGTTATAGGCATTTTCCCACTTGATTTTGAACAAGTGGAAACAGCTTTACCCCGATGTGATAAAAATATCAACCACCAATGTGCTCTTTTTTTCCTCCTTTGGATCCCAGGCTGGGAACCACAGATCTGGCACCACCGGCTCTTTTTGTTGTGTTAACAGTGTTTGGTGTGTGTCCAGTGACTAATTAATGACTTACAGAGCCATGTATCAAGGTGAACATCATCATGAATTACAAAGCTCCTTTTAGATTACAATTCACTATGTAATAACTTCATCCGAATCTTCAACGAACCACAAACTATGATAAACTGCCCATTCCCCCATTAGAGCTACATGATGACAAAAACATCAAAGTGTTATATATAAGATATATACCCAGTTAATTTAATAAATTGCTTTTTTTTAGGATTCGAAGCTCTCTGACTCACATGAAGGAAAGGAGCAGAAGTCAAAGCCAATACTTCAAAACAAACATTTGTAAAAAAAAAAAAAAAGCTCCTCTTTAACTCACACTCGTGTTCACGTTGGACAGCAAATTGAATAGTTCACAACGAAATATCGGTGTCGCCTTGTCAAGCCATGGCGAGCGTGGAATTCGTCTTTAAAGTGTGGATGTAAGTGAGCTTTCACGGAATATAATGAATGTTTCTGCGCGGGGGGAAACTAGCCCAAGCGGCTCCGAGCGTTGGTGTTCGTCCAAGTAGTTCAAGCCTCAAAGGCAGCAACCAGAACCCGAATCCAGCCAGAGCATGAAGTGATCGCATATTACTAATGTTTATCTGGCAGGCGCAAACAGTTTGGACTGGACGGGACTGAGTGGCTTGAGGACAACAATTAACTAGCTCCATCTGTTCAGAAAAAAGGTCTCTAGAAACCTACATGCTGTCTCTCATCTCTTCAAGTTACTTACATTTTTTCGTCTTTTGACATCTCCCCCCCCCTCCGTCACCCTAATTTTTTCTCTGCTTAGTGTAATTTGTTTGCTTTTAATTCAGATTTCTCAGACAGGGTGGAGGTTTAGCTGCAGAGACTGTACCGACTCCCCGTCGTTCATCGTTCACTATCTCTCCATTTACATGTCAGCCGTTTATTAAGTCCTTAAAGGCAATGGCAAAATGGGAGTTTTGTTAAATACCTTTGGGGAAATGTCCTCCGAGGTAAATGCTGGTCTTCAGCCTCTTGAACTTACGTGTTTTGATACAGTTCATTTCACGGTAACCTGATCAGATCAGCGTCATGAAAAGATTCCAGGATGTTTACCAACTGTGGCTTCCAGCAGAACACAATGTAGCCCAGGAGACATTTACTAGCTGGACAATTCACAGCCTCACTTCCACAGTTGAGAAACAACTCATTTATCGAAAAACTAACCCTTTAAAAATCAGTCTGACATCAGCGAGTCTGTAGGTGAACACAGAGAAGTTTGCACTCAGATCACAAATGAAAATACAGATATTCTCCCAAAATGTAGAATAAATTTCATCTTCTGTGTGTTTAGGCTGCTCTTTGGCCTAAATACCCAGTTTTCTATCCCATTACTTAACACATATAACACATATATGGTTCTAATCACCAAATTTTCTCTAAGCACACTAAGACTCTTTCAGGCTTCAAACAGAACCACAAACATTTGATCTTTTTGGGGACGTTGCGTCATGTGCAGCAGGTTGATTTCATCCTCAAAGCCAACATGTGTGAATGAACTCAAACGCTTACACAGGTTCAAAATGTAAAATGATCCGGGTCCAGCGGTCAATAAGTCAGCCATGTGAGGATTGTGACAGAAACACGCGTGACCGTGTCATCTGATATTTCTTACAGCCAACAGCAAACGGACCAAGTCCATTTTTCTCCTTTTCTTAAACATCAAACATCAGCATCTTGTAAATGATGTGAGGAAAAAAGCGAAGGTTGGCACTAATTTGGTCGAAAAATCAAGGTTTCTTGACAATATGCACATCGTACAGTATGTGGTGATGTAACAGAGGAAGAAAAATATTTACAGGAAAAAAAGAAAGCTCTGTGGGTTTGAGAAGTTGTTTTTATTTTACTTTCTACCTGGTTCCAGACCTTGTCTTTTTTCGTCTTTCTCTCTCTCTCTTTTTTTTTTACAGAGTTTTGGGTTTCCACCACATGACATATGCACACATATAATGCTTTTCAAATCCTTTTGAAGTACATTAAGCCATGTGTTTCTTTGCCGTGTGCAAAAAAAAAAAAACTGACATTAGCCTGAAAGAAGAAGCAGATCCTAACTTTAACCAGCTCTCTGGACAAAATATTAGGTGGGTCAGAAATGATTGCATGTAATATGAAGCACATGAACTCAACAGCTTGTAAATTTTTCTTACTCTATAGCTGATTTTGGACCATTTCTGCTAATATATTTGCTTGGAGCACAGAGGGGGACATTAGTGCAATCTGACAAAATGTGACTACAGAGTGAACAAAAAGCTTCTTACTAATATAAATAAACCATTTTCTTTTAGATTTTTTTGTCAACCATTTTCTCATGGAATCAAATGTGTTAAAGCCCTTGTTTTTATTTCACTCTTTGGGGGTTTATTGTAGAACCAACATACTGTGGTTGAAACCTGTTAATAATAACCACATGTATGCTTCTCATCAGCTGAAGACGTGCACATGTAAACACCACAGCGCATGCCTGGAATAGTTAAGAGGGTGAGTAACAGCTTTCCTCCACTCTTTAAACAGAGCGATCACCAAAACTGAACATACAGTGTTAATACAGTAAAGATGATGTAAAAGTCACTTTTAATCCAGTGGTGCATCCTACCAAAATGGCTCTGATCAACATATATGATATGAAATTAATATAACTATTAACTCCATTAATATCTGTAGCATGTCTGAATTGCTGAGACTTACAACATCCTCAAGAAATCATGACTGCATCTTCCTGCCGAAGAAGGAAGTTCAGCTGAGTTTACATTTATCTGATTCTACTTAATGGATCTGTCCAGTTTATTTAGCTACAGATCTCTAATAAAACAAAAAAATACGGCATCTGCTTCCTTGTTAAGATCCTCACAAAGATCTCGACTTGATTAGGTTTCAAAGTGTGTATCGTGACTCAGAAAAAAAGAAAATTACATTTGACCCAAACAAGGAAAGGCCAATAAACTGAAAAAAGGGTTTTGAATGATTTCTCCCTTATAAAAGCTTTCCAGAGTCGGCTAATGGAAAATGCTCTCAGTGGAGTTAAAGCGGCAGTTTGTTACCGCACTAATTAGTGGGAATATTACCGTAGCATAAAAAGTTTTCTGTTTGCTGCAAAGTCTATAAAACATGTAACTTTACTGTTGTTTTTTAAACCACCAGACCATGCTTCCTTTAATGTTCAACCCGAGCCTTTTCTTTATGAATAAGTGGTCATCTCATGAGTTTACAGCTGCTGCATGGTAATTAAAATCAGGAAAACCAAAACGCTAATACTAATACGATGTTAATATTCCTGGACATTAAAGCCAATGTTTCCAATCCAGTAGTTTTGTGTCGTAATCACCTTTTTAAAAAGTAGAATTCTACTTTTAATTTGCACTAGAGCAACAAAGCCAGTACAGAGTAGTTTCTTTCTGTGCAAAAACAGTAGAAAAGAGTGATATTTCACCTGGTCTGTCTCCTCGGTCACCTTTCTCCCCCTTGAAGCCTCGCTCTCCTCGGTCACCTGTGGACAAATCACAAAAGAGCCTCAGACTTGATGATAAATGAACTAATACTTCAATAATTGTCATGTCACAGGAGGGGACTGTCTTGTAAAATGCGGTGTAAAATGGAGTTTGTAGCTGAACACCTCTCACGACTAAAACAGCCACATCATAGCAAAGAAATGTTTGAAAAAAAACGAATAAAATAACACTTAAAATAGCCAAACCCTCCAGAGAAGAGAGCGGGCCAGCCACTGACAGCCTCACATTTTAGGGTGTTGCTTTCCCTCACACCCATTTCCTCTCCACGGCTCTTTTATATTTTCACCAGCCCCTTAAATAAGGAGCCCTGTAATTGCCTCGTGATAGGGGCATAAAATGTCAAAATTAGAGGTTACCATCCTGACTCCTGCGTTTAATTTTCCTTTAAGTTTGAACGTGTGAAAAAAGACAGAAACAGAAGCATTTTGTTTCACAGTGTAATGGGATTATTGGAAAATGTAATGGAATGCAAACCCCCTGAACCCACACAGAGTAAAGATCCATTTATTCGCGGTTATAAGACAAAATATGGCACCCATAACACTGTCCTCCAATCAGCAGCTTGGAAATGACTGTTTTTCATATGTTTCCTTTTAAAAGGTGTTGGCCAAATGACCAGGAATCACCTAAAAAACCACAAGGCTGTTTTTGCCCTGAAGCTGGAAGACTCAAAGTGGGCATTTATCCCACTATTAATTTGGCTAGTTTTTTATTTTATTTTCCAAATGTAGGACCACAGTGAAGGTGTCAGCCAAGGTGGGCCTCAGCCACACCCACCACGCGCTACTGCCTCCACAAATCTGCTTTAGGACTCCACCAAACACTGCCGGTGTTGTCCTCAGCTATCTTGTGTTTTCCATCAACACATTCCCATCAACTTACCGACATGCAAGGGAAACAACAACACACAGTTAAGCTGCACCGAGCCACAACGAGACAGTAAATGCATTTTAGTTCGACCTCATTCAGTTTGTGTGCAGGTGGTCCTGAAAGGTGACAACAGATAAAAACATCTGCATTTAACTCGATGGCTTCAAATAAAAACAGTAGCCTCGTTAGTGGCTTTTGGTTAGGGGGATAACAGTTAGCAGGTCCAGGGTTGCAGCAGTAAGGAGCTACGTTGGACTAAACACTAAAGTGATGCGTTTCTGGAGAAAAAGAGCTATATTTTCTTCACATTATAATCATCTTTTTATCTGGATATGGCTTTCATCCATCCATCCATCCATCCATTCTCCTCCGCTTATCCGGGGTCGGGTCGCGGGGGCAGCAGCCGGAGCAGGGAAATCCAGACTTCCCTCTCCCCGGCCACTTCGGCCAGCTCCTCCGGGGGGATCCCGAGGCGTTCCCAGGCCAGCCGGGACACATAGTCCCTCCAGCGGGTCCTGGGTCTTCCTCTGGGCCTTCTCCCGGTGGGACGAGCCCGGAACACCTCCCCAGGGAGGCGACCAGGAGGCATCCTGAACAGATGCCCGAGCCACCTCAACTGGCTCCTCTCCACGTGGAGGAGCAGCGGCTCTACTCCGAGCCCCTCCCGGATGGCCGAGCTTCTCACCCTATCTCTAAGGGAGAGCCCAGCCACCCTGCGGAGGAAACTCATTTCGGCCGCTTGTATCCGCGATCTCGTTCTTTCGGTCACTACCCAAAGCTCGTGACCATAGACGAGGGTGGGAACGTAGATCGACCGATAAATTGAGAGCTTCGCCTTTAGGCTCAGCTCTCTCTTCATCACGACAGACCGGTACAGGCCTTAGGGTCGCATCTCTGCTTTTTGCAGATGATGTGGTCCTGTTGGCTCCATCAAGTCGGGACCTACAGCTCTGCTGGAGCGCTGGGATGAGGATCAGTGCCTCCAAGTCCGAGACCATGGTCTCTCACCGGAAAAGGGTAGAGTGCCTTCTCCGGGTCGGAGCGGACGTCCTTCCCCAAGTGGAGGAGTTCAAGTATCTCGGGGTCTTGCTTGCGATATGGCTTTCATTAATATTAAATAGTCCAAACTAAAAAAAAACAACAAAACTTTTCATGTCCCTCAGCTTCTTTTGGTTATATAGTGGCAAACGAATAATATTGTTCAAGTCGGCCATTTTCAGAAACATTTCAGCCACATTTTACATTAAAAAAGTTTTTAAAAAAAGAGAAACCACTGCATACAACATAGTGGCCAAAAGTAAAACTCAGTCTCAGACTTTCTTTGTAAAACTCAACAGAGACTAAACCACATGAGCTCAAACCAACTCATGAATGTGATGAATCGCATTTTTGGCCAAAAAACTACACAAAACAACCAAATTTCCGACTGAACTTTGACATTTTTAAACCAGAAAAAGAGAAGGAAAAAAAAGGACACAGAACATGTTCTCCACTCCCCAGCACTCATCTATAAAAACAAACCGTGGAGCTTCCCTGTGTTTTTACAAGCTTTTCAGTGTCCCTATTTCCTGCCGCCTAATGCTGAGGCCTCATTCATACCAGAGGGCCTTCACACTCTTCACCCTTCAGCGCTTTGCTAACCAGACCACAGATGGGTGAAAGCAAAGATACACATTGTGTGAAACTGCCCGTGTCGGGATGGTCAAACATCTGAGGACGAGGTTTTTTTTTCTTCTCGTCTCCATTTTTCAACCGATTGCTTATTAGGGTTGCGTTTTGAGATGCTTTTCACATAACTAACTTCACTGAAATGATGTTGTGGGTGTTCTTGTTTGCTCAGCCATGCCTGTCGTCACATGTTTTCATCTGTTTACTCCAAACAAATGAGAGAAGTTTGTGTCATTTTGATGCTTTTGGCTAATCAAAGCAAGCGGCATGAAGGAGTGATGGTTGCTGTGGGATGCTGCCTGCCAAAAGGGCTTCAAACTGCTTTTGTGAAACATGCAACATGGCAAGATGTGTCAGTTTTTCCACTGAAATGCAACAAATGACCAGCTGTTTGGAGCAGAAACAGAAAAAAGCTTTCCTGCACCGTACGGTCACTGAACAAGTTATTCTGCTTTTCCCCGTCCTGTCTTCTCAGTCCATTTATTTTCTTTTAATTAAAAGCCGTGACATCACAGAGTGTCAATCCAAAGCATCGCGTTAACAAAATACAGCTTCACAGCAGCCGAGTTCCAGGAATTTTGAGAAAAAAATCATCTAGGTGTTTTGAAGAAAAGTTTTTCTTTAGTTACAACGTATCCAGGAAGTCACATGTTATGTCATCACCTCCAATTTTGGGCATACACACTTTGGTTAAAGCACAAACATTTAAACAGAGACACTTTGCTCTAACCAGATGAACCATTACCAGCTGTTTAGACTTAGTTTCATTGCATCAGATGTTTCCTTTTTCTTTTTCTACTGCGTTTCCGAGCAACCGACAGGCTTTCAGCAACATTAACTGCCATCGAGCTCCTAAAATTCTTCTACGGCGTGTGGCATTTATTACGTCCAGTACTTTGTATGACCACAGGCTGAAAGAATTTGTCACAATCTCTGCTGACGTTCACTCCTTCCACTGGAATAACTACACAGGTTTGTGATGAAAACAATATATGAGATACAGGACCTTTGAGAGAGCGTCATTGTTTTGTATGAGTTATTGCCTTAAACTATTTGTGCTCCTCTTGGTATTTCTTCCAATCTTCCCAAGTTTCTATTGTTATATCCTTTAGGTTGTGAGACACATCCTAAAGGAGCCTTTTGTCCTGCCCTAGGAAATTCTGTTGGCTTTGTTATTTGGATGACTTTGGATTTCTTTGGTTATTTTTTTAACCGATCTGTGCATGAACTTTAAAAGCTTTTTGTATCGTGTTGCTAGCCTTTTGTATCCTGTTACTATATTTGTACTAGGCACACACAAGCATGAAATTGGAACCAGCTTAAAAAATGTACTGAAAAACATTTTTATGAAGCATATGTGATGGCCGGCTGAGTGCTGTGTTAATCAGTGGGGTTGGGAATGTAGACTTAATGGGGCTGAAATTACAAACCTGATCCCATATTCCTCTGTGTTCTATCAAAAGCATACAACCAATTTCTCAGTAAGAACTCTAAAAATGGTTTTAACACCTGAAATATATTCATAAGCAACTAAAATGTGCACAAACTCAAAAGGAGTTCGCTGTAGATTAGAACCTGAGGCCCTAATACGTCAACATATCAACTTGGTCCAGGGATAACCGGCCAGTTTTTGGGTCTGTGGGAGTCGCCGGTGCAGATTTTCGGCTAAGCTCGCTCTGATTGGCAACAGCTGTTGGCTGGATGCAAACGCAAACGCCACGTACGTGTACATGCACACACCATTACATTTAGCCACAAGAAAAACACAAACACTGCGGCGCCTTATCACGTTAGCCACGGTTGTGACTCCCCCATCGGATCTGTGCTCCGGACGGACGGAGAGTGTTTTTGTTATGATTGGCCCGGTCCGGCAGGTGATGCCAGAGCAAAAGGCTTGATGCCAACACCCACGGGCTCCATGCGGATCAACAAGAGCCAACGAGAACAGAGCAAAAGAAAAAAAACGGGAATAATGAGCGGGATGGTCAATTAAGATCTGATTCAGTGGCCACTCTTCAGCTGTAAGTTAGACACGTGTGCGTGTCCATGCTCGCCTCAGACAAATTATATTTACAGTGCAAAAGAAAACTGTCTGTAAATCACAACATCGAACGTTCCTTGACTAAAGATAATGTAATACTCAGCTGCTTGGAGACTGAATTGAATGGTTATTATGGATTTTGCATCGTGCGAAAGAATTCTTTTCTGACTTAAATCATAAAAAAGTGCATGAGCCCTGCACTAGAACATACACTAGCATTAAAATAGAGCCTGCTGGAAAACTTTAAATGTGTCCTGAAGCACGATGAATCTGTCCATGGGTTATTTTCACCTTATTTGGTCAAAACCGATATAACAATCAAAAGCCAAACTTGCCAATGAAGTTCAGGCAGGATAAAAAGTGGCATATATATTATTACCATCTGCAAACCAGGGATTTAAGAAAAATCATCCTTCACTCATGCCCTTTTGACTCATTCATTTCAAACCAGTTTGGGGCCTTTTTTGGCTCCTGCAAAACTAAATTCAGCAGGATTTTTAATCTATGACTGGACTTCTGACAGACTCAGATACAAACACACAGATATGTGGAAGGGATGTTAGCCTGCTTATGTGCACCGCTCCAGATTTTACTTTGGAGCATAAGAATGGAGAAAAATATGAGTCATAGCATCAAAAACGATACCAAAAGGTTGACTTCTTATGCACGGACCCTACTGGAGGCCTGGTATCTTAAACTGTTGAAATAAATAAAGTTCTTGAACTCTGTTTAAGGTATTATGGCAGTCAAACAAGATTAACTGAATTAATTATTTGCAAATAACTAACTTTTTAAGGTATTTTATCATATACTGATTATCAGTTTTAGGATTTTTTTTCATGACTTGGCTTTAAACTGATGAAACTGGTAAAGACAGCTGTTGGGATTGCATCATAAACAGAATAAGAAACGGGCGCCTAAAGCACTTCTAGCTTCCGTCACCGAACAGAAAAAAGAAAACAGCGGCACCTGCTGTGATGTCAGAAGTGTTAACAGCTTTGGTTCCTAATAATTGTCGGTGCAGAGGTTTTTTTATTTATTTCACACAGCCCTTTTCGGTTCACTAGTGTGCGGTGGCTGGACGTGTGAACGTGTGGACAAGATTCAGCTGTCAGTTGCACAATACTACAGAGAGTAATAGCCATGTCAAAGAGACATCTGATCGCTTTAATATGACTTTTGCGTTGCTCTATGAGATCATACATTTTAAGGGTTCAGGCACGACCTGTTAGAAGTTTTCACACTGCACGAATCATGTGACCTACAAGCCCAAATTGTGCGTTACTACACAACTACACTATAGATTTACCTTTAGGCCCGACAGGTCCGCTGTCTCCTTTTTCTCCCCGAATCCCATCAACCCCGACAGATCCTTTCATTCCGCGGGGGCCTGGCATTCCCTTTTCTCCGGTTAGTCCTGAAACACAAACACACGATGGTTTAAAAAAATAAAATTAAAAAAAAAGCCCAAAGCAGACCATAACCTGATCACGGTAACCCGAATCTGCAAATTTCATTTAGTGGATATTTTAAAGTGGAGATGATACAGATAAGTGTGCTTTAAAGTGGTTTCGTTGACAGACAGGACGGCTGTAAAAGCGCTCGACTTAGAGGCTTAAAAAACGTTGGCGTCCACAAAGCAACAGGCGTTTCTCTGTGTTTACGCCCTTCTTTTGCAAAACCGTGAAACCGCTTCATCAAACACTGAATCCGGACTTACTTTGCAGGAAACTTGAGAAATATCCTTGCAATCAATGTGGAAAAGGGGAAGGAAAAAGAAGTCCTGGGAAGGCAAAAAGGCCTTTTTACTAGACGGAGAAGACTCTCAGTGTCCTTTGATTAAAAAGAGAACTCGACTGGTATACTCGTTTATAATTTGTCCTCAATGATATTCTGTCACCTTTTTTGCCATCTGCCGATTCGTAAACTTCTCCCCTAAACCAACATATTTTGCTTTGTTCTTTTAAAAAATCTGCTTCTTTCCTGAGTCGCGGGAGGTTCTGTTGACTTTATTTAAGCACACTGGAGAACCTCCTGTGAATGTGGTAATGACTTATTGATTGCACTGCTACAGCAAAGCTTAATCTCTTCTCAAACGAGCCTGTGCCCCGATTCGCTCTGATTACACTTTTGTGACCGGTCAGAAAACCTAAATGGAATAATTAGATTGAACGCATTAGAGCCAGAAACAGAAAATAAACTAATGATGGATGATGTCATGTAACTCAACACAAGTCAACGAACTCAGAAGGGGGAAAACGCCATCCATCAAATTTTGGATCGAGGGCAAAATTGTTCTTTGTGTTCTGCGGGTCAGTCCAACTGGATTGTTGAGCTGAAGGAAGGAGTCTGGATGTGTTGACAGATTCTTTGGGCCTCTGTGCCAATGGAGAAACATAAGTATGTTTGGCCAAATACAAACTGAGAAGGAAGAGAGATGGGAGAACCGGAGAGAATACTAAAAAAAAAAGGATTATTAGAAACAGCCTACAGCATTTAAACAATTTTAACTGTAAGTTTGACTGTATTTTCTGTCAGTTATTTCAAATTAAACTAATGCTATTAAATGTTCCCTCAAATAAAAAAAATAAAGTCAGCTTTCATTCTGCAGCTTATATCTACTTTATCCATTGTGCATTGTGCTCTGGCCTGGATGGGACCAACAGGGAAATGTGTCCAATCTAGAATCACTATAAACCAAACGTGGACGTCTTTGGACTGTGGGAGGAAACAATGCACACACAAGGAGAAAGTGTATCACAATTCCTGGTAGTGTTGAATGGTTTCTTGCATTATATCTTTAAACTTTGCACAGTAAACTAGCCAAACACCGTTAAACCCTAATGCAACTTATCTCAGTGAGTCTGCTGATCAAAACGTCCCTCCCGTAAGGAACCGCTCAAACAAAGACAAACACAGAGTTGGATGTGTTTGAGTTCTGACCTTTGGGAGGATTGGGTTTCCAATTCATTTAGCCGTGTCTTCATGTTAACTAATAAAGAGGCCTTGAAATTCTTTTCTTTGACTTTTTTTCCTAGAACTGTGGCACGGAGGGGCAGCCCCCCCTTCAGCAGGGAGACAATGCCTCTTGGAAACGCGGCCAGGGAATGTAGGATGGATGATGACAGGGGGGGTGACGATTCAAGATTTACCAAGCTGTAGAGCTTCCAAAACATCTGGAATCATATCGTTTTTGTTTGTACCATGATGTATTTAAAAAAAAGAAATGGGTATATTATCCTGAGGTGGAGATTCTGTCTGCTTTATATTGTTTTTTTAAGAGGACAAAGAGAGATGACGCAGCCCACTGCCCTGTCAGAAAATAAATCCCCACCCAAAAAGCTGTTTTCTTAATACATACGTGTGACCTTTTGGTTTTCTCTGCTCGTGCATTATTAATGCAACCTAATGTAGCCGCAATAGCCAAGGGAGAAACACCTGCCAAGGTCTTTTTCTCTGCCAAAATGTGTCTAAATATCCACCTTTCATGCCACCCAATTAGAAATCCCAGTGTTTAAAAAACGGCTTGTAACTCTCTGATTTGGAGTTTACATTAGAGTTTTACTGCACAGCTGGGATTTGTGAGTCATAGGCCTTTAAAAATCCACCTACAACATAAGCCGCAGCAGTTTCCTTAATTTGTTAAACGTATCAAAATATTTTGTGTGAAATGCTTTAAAGGATGAGATACAAATCAGAGAAATTTGAGTTTTGGTAAATGGCAAAAATCTAAATAATATGAATGATGAAAACAGGGAAAACAATAACACTGGTTTTGTACAACAAAGTCTACGGATTCAAGACCAGTTTTAACAGCATACTTATCAAACCTTGAATGAATTTTTAAGTCTCAAGTCAAAATTCAGTGCAGAATATTTCATATTCACAACAAAAAGGTACGAAATTGACAGATTTCAGGAACTTTATCTGCCTTTATGGGTTCATATCATGTGAATCCCAAGTAGCTCCTGCTCCGTTCTGATGTTGTGTCCCTCCATAATTGACAAACTCACATACAATTGTATGGTTGTGCTCACCTCTAAAGCCGGTCAATCCGGGGGCCCCCGGTGGCCCCAGTTTTCCAGTGTCACCCTTCTCTCCCTTCGGCCCTGGAGGTCCTGCACAAAGAAGGAAATAAGTGTGCATCTCATACAAACAAAGAAAATAATTTTGCAGACATTACTCTTGAAATAATTGTTTTCATAACCCAAGATCTTTAAACCACACTGATGTCTTATTTTCTAAACGAATTTTGGAACCTTGAAAAGAAATCTATCATCAATGACAAAAATAGGTCCATTTTACTGATGATTTACCAGTAAAAACTGACAAACGGTTTTCCAAAAACTGCGTTTCTGCTGCTCATTTTTGTTCAAGTAGTCACTTTTAATACATCGTTGAACACAAATAGGCTGGTGTTATTCATAATAATTCATATTGTGTTTCAATAATGTAATATGAAGGTAGAACTAATCAAATGTGTGGTATGAACTACTTTCAGAAGGCTGGCTTACATTTAAAACGCTGCTTCAGGGTTTGTTTGATACAAATAAAGGAAGAAATCTGATTCCCCACTAAGTGCCTTTATTATTTCAGCATGTTGGGCATCTCTTCATTTCATGCTGGCAAGCCTGAATTTGAATCGGCCACCTAAAAATGGAGCACGTATCAGCATGTCTTGGATATAGCCTCCAATTGGTGCAAACAATATTTTATATTGTTAGCCTTTATATCTTTTATAGGTTAATTCGCACATATAGATTGTGATGGCCCCAAAAACGAAGGCCAAAAGGGGTCTAATAACTGGTCAAATGATTGAGTCCAAGCATTTGTTATAGTTGGATTACTCCAGAGAGCGAGTGGGGAAAAAAGCCAAGCTGTGAGTGAAAAAAAAGAGAAAGGTCTGGTCAGAATAGGAACCACATGTTTAACAAGGTGGACCACAGCACAGCTTGTGGGAATGCTTAGAAATTCAGAACTTGTTATCGTCCAGCACATGTCCACTGTTTGGGATCCTTCAGATCTATCATTTGCATTTTTCTGATACTGGCCTGTACGGAGATGCAGATCTGCCAGCTGCTGCCTCAAGCTGCTTCACAACTACCAACATTTAACTGTTAAGAAGCTGTGAAAATGGCACGGCTAAGGACAGAGAGAGGGGATGTTTTTGTGTTCGGAACCTTGTGAGGACAGCAGAAGCAGAGGGACACTGACCAGTATTCATTTCATTTCTCTGCTCCAGTCTCTTGATTGTGAGGATTGGAAAAAATAAAAAAAATAAAAAATAAAAAAACCTTCCTTTGCTTGGTAAAACTAGCGAAAACATCTTAAAAGTAAACTCTCACTTGATCATTCTGCATCACCATCAGTGTATACAGTTGAGGGTCACAGATCATGCTGGCTGATAACTAAACATCTCAGTAAAAGGTTTGGCTCCATATTTAAAGTATGCATTATTCACTTTAAAGGGGAAACACAATCTACTGAAAGCACACACTACAATAAAAATCAAATACGGCAGAAACTTATTAAAAATATGTCAAAAGTATGCTGAGAGGTATATATCATATAAAATGAGAAGTCCTTTGATAACAGAGAAAGACATTTGACTTATCAAAGGGACCTACTTTGCTTTAGAAAACAAATCAATATTGAATAATCTTCACTTTAACTGCTCTCACAGTTGGAAATAAATGAAAATGCGAGCCTATTAAAATCCCCTTATTGGCTCTTATAGCCACCTCTGTTCATTCTCATACCAGTGTTTCAAGCAGAGTGGCTCATTAAACTCCTTCTGTCCAGAATTAAACCATTAGAGAAGAGTTATGGTCCTCCATCAAAGATTGAGTCTGCAGGATGGAGCAACAGGCTCGTCTTGTTTTGTCTCTCAAACTTGTTTAGTCTGGCGGAAATCTTAAACGCCAGAGCTGTGACAACGTGCATGTTTACGGCACAGGAACATGAAAAATGTGTTTGGAAATCCATCCCAGATGACACGCGAAATTAGATTTTATGCACGTTTTTATGCACATAATGTTTCAACCTAAAAACAAACCGATCAAAAATGTACTTATAAGAAAGAGATTCACTCTTTTATAACAACTCTATTACGGAAACATGTAATTATCCACAGAAAAAAAACAGAAAAGGCAGGTATCTTTTACCTGGGTTTACTATTAAGCCCATAGTTAGCATTTATTTAGTTGAAAATAGGTTAGTTGGTATCAACATCTTTAAATAGTAAACAGGACTTGGAAACAGTAGTTGGCATAGCAAAGAGCATTAACACACACCAACTGTTTTGTAAGAGAGCATTCAAATGCCAGACTGGTGATGTTAAGACATCTTTTTTACTGGAAGAGACAAACTCTGATCTGTTTTTGTTTTTGTGACCATCAACTCTATTTCTGAAGAAATCGGATATAATGTGTCGCCGTTACGGCTCCAACTTTGGAAAATCAAAACCATTTGCAGAAAAAAAGGCTGGCTTCTGACTTGGTTGTGAAGGCAACATCTAAGTACAACATTTCTTAATATAGACGAGCTCTAAAGGTTTCATTCCAGACACCTTTTCCTCAAGTAGTAAAAGACATTGTCCTTAAGTCAACAAAATGCAAACACGTTAACTATGAACCACAAAACAGCAAGTGTCTCTAACCATTCATCTGAAAAAAAGCACTGATGATATTATAACCATATAACCATCTAAAACTCAGTAAAGAACTCAATTGTATTTCATAGAAAAGTTGTGATCACAATTCTTTGACAGCTTCATTCTTTGCTGTCCCACACCAGTGGAAATTCTACCATGCAAGACCTTTGCACTACTCACTGAAAACAACCCGGAGCAATACCTTGAACATCTTCTTGTGTTTTGAATAATTTATGTAGCATGCAACGTGTGTGGCATTCAGATCTTATTCAGTCTGGGAAAAAAAAAACAAGTATCAAAACAAGTGAATACGAGGAGACAAAAAAGATGGAAACGCAGACGGTAAACGCGAAAAAGAGATGTAAAACTTGGCTAAGGTGACTAACAGCTAACAACAAACAAATGGGCTGCGGGGCTCAAACTAATGACGGAGCTGAACCGAGTTTTCATTCTGGATGAAGCGTCTAAATTTAACCCACAATTGTTTCCAGGCTCAGAAGAAATGGCATCCCACCCACATGTGAAGCAGACTTCAGATCAGGAGTCCCACTTGGTTTGAGATGCTATCAATCAGTTCAGGCTACGTCCTCTGCCAGCATGACATCATCTCATACCTAGTCTGACTTTAACAAGCCCGAGAAGTAATTTGGTAAGCTGGCAACGGGCGCGATGCTGTGCTGAGGCTAATCAGGTCCAAACAGATTGGATGAAGAACATACAAGGTTGCTGAAGACTCCAGGGAAGTGATCCCATGGTGTAAAATTGTGTTTGCATGCTAGGGTCACTTGCACTCAATCAGACTGCAAACATGGCTCAAATGAGCTGCTGTAAAGGATCTTTTAGGAGCACTGAGGTCTAAGCCATAGGGATTCAGTGAAAGCTCTCATTTTCTAACGCTGCGTAGATGCCTTCCTTTGTGCATGTCACATTTCATGTGGAGTGTCATTCGAAAAGCTTTTGGCACTTTAGATTTTTATCCTAAAGACTCCCATAAGGGAGAGATCAGAGAGTTTCTGCACACGGCCACAGAAATGCTATAAGCTGCTTTCACATCTGACTTGCATCCCGACATTTTTCAAGTCACAAATTGGACGTTTTGTTAAACGTTCCCATGAAGCTCCACTTATCTCTATCAAATATGGAAATCCTGTCTAAAAGTAGCTGGTAAATAAAAATTTCAAACTTGTCAATCAAGCCTTGTCTGACACACCAAAGGGAAAAAGAAGATAATTTAGAAGACAGAAAATGTTTTCAACAAACATGGAATCATTTAAAAAATAAGTTTTGTATTTAGAGCATTTTTACTTATTTTACCATTGTAAGTCAAAAATACATGGTATAGGAGGATTTCTACTAGTGGAATATCACCAGGACCTACAACTTCCCAGCCTGTTTGACTCCTGGATTAAGGTGAAAACTCTTTCCAGACCTTCAAATATTGTGAGGTTCTTCAGGGCCATGGAGTGCTCCCAGTCTTTCAGGCGGAGGTCCTCTGTGATCGTGTTCAGGATCTCCATCTCGTTCCTCAGCTGGGCCTCGGTGTGGACGTGTGTCACCCACAAAGTGCTGGTGTCCTCTGTAATGTTGCTGATCTGGATCTAAGAAGATCAGGAGCATTGGGAGATCTTAAACAAAATGTTTGAAGCGCAGACCTGTTTTTCGGATCTGTCGTGAACCTCCGACCTGTAGGTCTTGTATCTTGAAATGATGGATACTGATGTCGTTGCTGAAGGTGTGATTGACGGCACCCACGGTCCAGTTCACCTCGTCCAGTTTCTCCCTCAGGCCGTTCACCTGCCCCGACGTTTCCCTGATAAACATTCGGGAAAGGTTAATGCTGTCTTTGTCCGACTCATCAATCCCGCTGACCGATGCAAAAGCGTCTACCTGAGCAGGGCGTCGTGGTCGCGGAGCCATCGGGAGGTTCTGGTCACCTCGGAGCTCAAGCTGGTCAGGTTCCTGCCGGCGGAGTTGCTCAGCGAGGACAACCTGTCGTCCAGCTGCACCAGGTAGCCCTCCGACTGCAGGGAGTGAGCCTGCATGCTCCTCAGCTCCACCTCCAGGCCCTGCAAGGAGAGGACTCTGACAAGTCATGTATTTCACCATTGTCTTTATGACTCGCTAATAACTTTCTTTTGTAAAAAACAAACAAGAAATAGTTGCATTTTCTTTGTGTAAAGACCTTCTCAATACTCTATCCCCTTCCCCCGTAAAGAAAGAATCAATCAATTCAAAATGACCATCGACAAATGACCTATTAATTTTTTTATTAAGTTCAATTTCAATTTTATGAGCTTGTGTTCTTTCCTCCTGTCAGAAATCCCAAACCGATTTAGTCAAAATTTGGCATTTAAACCAATCAAATCATGGTTAACCTGATGAAACTTTTAGTGGGGTTGCAGGCAGTGACACCAAGTTGCTTCATTTAGACTTTACATCCTCCTTTGATTGCAGTAGGTCTGATCTGATGAGGCTAGCTTGACAACAAGGACATTCTGTCAGACCAAAGTATTTTATTCTATGAATCTGTGGAGTAACTTTCACAAAAGCCACATTTCCCCTTTTACAAAAACATGGAGGCCCTGACCTAAGCTCAGGTATTATATCATACAGCTAACAAGAGAGCGACCATGGCAACATCTGGCCGTGGATTTAGTATCATCTTATTATGGCAGGAATTCCTCATTATCATACCAAATTTCTTTGGTTTCGGCGCTTACATTACAGCACTTCTATTGCTGATCATACGTACACATGGGAACAGTATGCGTTAGATCATGCTAAAAAACACAACCCCAGATCATGTTTAGTATTCCCACCATTCACTCCAGTCCCCCCATCCCCCACCTCAGCTCCAACCGCCCACCCCTCAGAGCCCCTAAAACAGAGAGAGAACATAACGCAGACACATTCCACGCTTTTTTTTATCTTGGGGGTACCTTGAGGAGGATCTCCAGCCTCTGCAGCCAGTCGCTGTGGTTCTGGAAGACGTTTTCCAGCTTCCAGATGTTCTCCAGCAGGTCGGCCGGGGCGGAGGCCTTAGCCAGGGTCTGCTGGAGCTGCCGAGAGCTCTCCGACATCTGAGTGACGTTCTCCATCAGCACCTCCTGCCGCTGGGAGGACACCTGGGAGCGAGAGACTAGGAGAAAGGAAGAGAGAGTTAGCGATTTGTTCTCAGGGTCGATTCGCGGATCCCCTCAGCGGCACCAAAAGTCCCCAAATCAAGTTTCATTTAGTATCAATCAGGACTGTCAGCGTGGAGCCAGCCAGCGCCGTAATGCTGAGCAGATGTGGAGTCCGTCGCCTGCACTGATTTCGGTTGTCTGCTCCTGCTGGGTGTATTGTTTTTCCTAAATCAGGACCTAAATATTTTTATGAGTTCTCTAACTTGGCCCGACTCGAAGCTGCCTGCGATGCCTCATGGTGGAAATTGTTCATTTTGAGTGATGTTGAAGTTGGCCTCTCCAGGCAGCTGTTCATCCAGTGCCTGATGGGCTTTTTTGAAGATATGACACATGAATATTCTGAGATCAAAAGAACGTTTGAATAAAAAATGGGACTTTAAACATAATTTGCAAAGTGACATGTAGAATAACTTGGCTATACAAGTGTACCAAATGAAATATGTGTTAAAAAAAAGTGGAGTTACAAGCTTCTAACCTAGAAATAAAACATGTTTTACATGCCCTGTAGTTTATTAGACTTATGGAAATGAGGGACTCTTTGCTTAGAAATATTATATGTATGTGATATTATAAGTGATATTTACAATAGAAGTTAAGGGAAAGGAAGAAAAACCACGCAACAAATTATTCAAAAGGTAGGAATCCGTGTGATTTTACTCTTTTTCTAGCTTGTAGTTGTATCTCCGATGAAAAGAGTGGACACTTGAAGTTGTTCAGGGCTGGAGTGCCCTGAGAGAACCCTCACAGACACCAGGAGAACATGAAAACTCTGAAAGTAACTTTAGTGAAACCGACACAGGCTATTGGCCAGTGATCGGTCCATCTACTTTCTGTCTTGGCCTCATAAATCTAGGACTCTGTGTTCCCTTTCGCTTTTTAAGGTTGCAGTGTTGTCATACTAAAATCCTAAAAGCTCAATCTCGATCTCGAAGCCTGAAGGTAAGTGCGGAAGACGAAACGTAAAACGGATTAAAACCTCGGACATGGTTGAGCGAAAGGCAGTAATTCAACAGCACAAGTTTTGCGAGCCCATAGGAGAAGCCAGAGGACTGAAGGGGAGCAGGGAATATCCGTTCATAAGTATTTAGCTGGAAAAAAGGATATCTGCATGTTAACAGGGATCTTTTAAGAGAGAGGAGGGAGTTTTTAGGAAGACAAACTCAAAATCTGAGCATGAAATCGGGAAATCCGGCACTTATAAAAAAGACTGCATACTTAATTAAAGGGTGCATGAAATTCAAACATAAATATACATGAACTGGCGAGATATATTGATGATAAACTACAAACATGTAAATCAGAAAGAATCAGAGCCAAAATGAGGACAGGGCCACATTTGCTGATGGTTAACAAGCTCATGGCTTGTGTTTGACTGAGGCCTAGAGTTGTTCTCCTCTGTTCTCCACCGTGTCTAATGAGAAAAAGCTCAGTGGTTTTGTGTTATCGTGAAAGCATGCTGCTTAAAAACCTCTCAATATCCCACGAGATGTTTTGAAACTGGACCCTCAGCGTTTCACTGTGACAACACGCTCTCAGCAGGAGCAATGTGGGAAAAAAAAAATCCAATAGATTAAAAAAGGGAATTACTTAGGAAATGGGAGGAAACAGATAATTCCCCTCACACATGTTCTTAGACACTCCGATGCCCTGAACAACACACACACACTCTGTTTCTCTTTCCTATAATCTGAGAGAGCGATAAAAGTGTGTTTCTGTACGTGTGGCTTTGTGAGGCCAAGAAATGTAAGCATGACCTCAGAGAGACAGCCACCCGGCTGCAAACAAACCATCTCAATTACGGTTTCAATTCTGCACGTTAGACTTACTCCTAATGACCTGAAAAGCTAAATAAGCTGCAATCTCGCCGCGGCACAGGTCAGCGAGCAGCTAAATGATGGTCTGTCAGCAGCAGAAGCATCTTTTTTCTGGGAGAGGAACACACGCAGAGAAAAACCTGATGCCAGCGAAAGGAAAAGAGAGAAAAGAGAGGCAGAAATGATCCTATTAGCGGGAAATTTTCCCTCTGTTTCAGCTTAAAGGTGAGTTGAGTCTTTCAGATGAACGTTTCGTGACCTCGGGAAAAGCTTATGAGAAAACTGTGCTGAAATAAATACCCACTGCTGACAAACCTGCTCTAAACGTCTCACAGCTTGGCTCTGTGGGATGGGAAAATCATCGTGCCATCAATTCCACCGACTATTTAAACACCGATGGCTGTTTTTCGGTTTTTCTCAGCCACACACACACACACACACACATAGAAGGGGCAAGGCAGGGAATATTAAAAACATATTAATCCTACATTCACAGTTTCATGCCCTGGGAGATCTCCTGTGGAGACACAGAAGCAGAGGACACTTTATCCATTCGAGTATCAAATGTTGGGAGACGGGGCCAGCTCAGCAGCTGTTCTTCATGGCCTAATGTGAAAGGATCCCAGATTAACGGTCGGTGGAAGTCCGCAGCTCATCCGCGCTGTTGTTTTATCGATCGGCGTTGCCGAGAAGCCGAGTCGCTCAACAAACAACTCGGGACTGGAACGGCCGACCAAAACTGGGCTCAAAGCGCTGATGCAACCAGGGGGGAAACATACGGACTGATGGTAAACAGGGCGTCAAAGACAGGAATAAGATGTCCATGGCAGTTTTCCTACATGTGAAGATCAGTGATCAACATCCTGAACTAACAACCAGGTCTATTTGCTGGATATCTGTGAGAAGATGGCTTGTTCACTTTCTAAATTCATCACTTCATGGAGGATGAAAAAAGCTGATTCCTGCCTGCTTTATGTAATAAACAAAACAAACAGTTGCTTCTACAACCTTTTGAACATTTTGGATTATTAATTTTCTTTCATGAAACCAGTAAAATGTTTAGATCCTTTTAAAAAAGGAAAAATGTCTATTTACTGTTGTGTGACTAGCTATTTTCATCCTTCTACAACCCCCGGAATAAGCTAAATTCTAACTTTGGGAGGTAAAATGTTACGGTACACTTCACCTAAGCCTGGATTTTTCATCTGAAATCAAATTCTCAAAGCACCCATGCTCCTGGGCTCTCCTGTCTCTGAGGGAAAGCTTTTTTTCTGACACGCACAGTCCCAGAGGCTGGCTGCCCGGAGGTCTACCGGAGCTGCATTCTTCTGTAGCCAAAAGCCAAAGAAAACAAAACATTTATTCAAAACTGAGAGCAGGAATGACGAATAACCTGTTAAAAGATAAGCACTCATTATCACCAAATTTTATTATACTATCTTCACTCTGCACTTTTTTGTTTTCATACGCACCAGAAATGATCATATTTTATAGCCACGCATTCTTTTTGGGGTCAAAACATCCCAATTGACAGAGCACTGACTTATTAGTGATAAAGGATAAGCTAGCGTCCCTAGAAACGTTTACTGTTGTGCAATAATTTTCACAGCACATAAAAGTTCTTTATAGCTTGGAAAGGAAAACTTTGGCTTATATTTTGAAGGCTTGAAACTGTGTCAGTTTTAGATAGTTTTTCGGCATTCATGGCATTTTTCCTCTTACAAAACAGAGCACACATGTCAAAGCCTGGGCCCACATACGGGGGAAGACATCATAGATAGATTATAAAGTGAAGTCATCTCGATCAGATATGCAAGAAAAGGTATTTCACAATGTAGATACCCACATGGGGATTTATTATTTAGAGAATAATTTCAGTTTTTCAAACTATTCTCTAAGTTTTTTAATTTTGCCCCAAAAGCTGGAAATAACATAACTTATTCTATAAAATCTATTTTGAAAAGTTAGGACCGAAATGTTTAAAAGCTGTGTTGGAAACAACTAAAATGCTAATTTGTTCTCCCTTTTTACTCCTCTGTTACAGACTTAAAATGTTATGATAAAAAGAAAGTTATAGTATGTTGGGAGCTGTTATACTGTTCAAAATGCAAGTATTTGGTTGTTCTTTTATCGGTGGCTAAAGGTGAACTTTATCATTCATGTTGTCACAGCTCAGGCTGTTGCTTTGCGTTATTTTGCACAATCAGCAGGATCTGCATCCTTGTATTTACATTCCTGCTTGTTTCTGGTTCTGGTATGATATGTCTGACCGAGCTCAAGGGTTTAGCTCCTGGGATGCTAAATGTGTTGTTGAAGTCCTCTGTGTCCTGGCCCTGCACCCCTGGTTACTAATCTCCCTGTACAGCTCTCTCACAGAGTTTTTAATAAGTAACTTCATACACAGGAAGCCTCTGTGTGTTTATGAAGGACGGGAACAGCTTTCAGTTAGACCTTAAGCACCATTACAAACAGGACTTGAGAAGTGCTGGTTTTATTGGTTTATTGATGTAGTTCTTGTTTCATTTCGGTAACCTTTATAGAACAACATGAGTCGTGATCCTTGAGCCATCAAACACAAACAGCTGTGAGAGTTTAACCTTTTTTGCCTCTGTTTGTACATCTAAAATTCAAATTATGTAAGAAATAATACATGTTTTTGTTATTAAACAGTATGCAATGTTTTATTTTAGTACGTTTAGCTTTGTTTGAAACACAGTTGGGACTCATGGTCCTTTTTTCCTTTTACTAATTTTTTAGGCATCTCATTTCCAAAACAACTAGCATGAGAAGTCAGCAGAGAGTTTTGCATCTGAAGAATCTCAAATTACAAAACATCACAATACAAATACTGAAACGGTATTTCACAAAACCAGTCGTAATTATGTTTTTTCTTGCAGGCAGATGGATATTCAGAGGTCTGTGTGGTTGGAGCACTTCTGATGGTCCATATACAGATGTGCTGCATCCATATACAGATGTGGGACCACCTCACTGAAATGAGGCCACTTTAACTTTGACTCAACCATTTTGTGTGGCAGGGCTTTCTAAACTGTGGGTTTTACATTATGAATCTATATTACAAGCCTTCTCAAAATGATTGTGATACATAATTACTCACAAAATGGAAGAAGAATCAAAACAGGATTTAGCTGGTGATTTACACTGAAATGCAGACGTGCCGCCTTCACTGTTCAAAA